TGAAAGTAACATACATTGGGGGAGTCCCTTCCACAGTTGATAAGGTGTGGATATGATTGGCCAGGGTAGCCTGTCTCTGGGAAACCCTATGATTCGCAGGGCGGAATGGGCTGAGCCCCTGCACGTTGTCATCTTCGGGGGGAATCAGGAACGGGAGACCGTGGAAGCTGGCGGCATCTTGTGAATTAGGGGCCTGAGCGGCCGGAGCACCGGAGTTGGGGGAACCAACAGCAATGGCCTGGGGAGTAACTAATTGAGAGGTAGTGGGATGAAGAGGGATTTGGCATAGGGAGATGTGACAAGGGGAACAATGGGTGAAGGTGAAAGGGGAGCTGGAATAGAAGGAATGACAGAGGGAGGTGGGAGAGGGGTGATCTCAGAAGAAGTGATAGAGGAAGGTAGAACAGGGATGGGATCAGAAGCGACAGGAGAAGGTGGAAGAGAGACGGGACCCGAGGGAAGTGGGAGAGGGGCTGGGATAGTGGGAACGATGGTAGGAGGTGGGAGAGAGGTGGGAACAATAGGAATGACAGAGGGAGGTGGGAGAGTGAGGGGAACAGTAGGAATGACAGAGGGAGGTGGGAATGGGGCGAGAGCAGTGGGAAAAACAGAGGGAGGTGGGAGAGGGACGGGATAGTAATAAGATCCGTCCGCCCCGAGGACAGGGTACAGAGGGGTGGGGACAGAGGAGCCTACGCCAATTGGAGGTAACGACTGGGTAGTGGCTGGGGAGGCGGAGTCAGATTCTTTCACATTGTGTTGGGCGCCATCATAGGGCGGTGGCTGGGGAACATCAAGAGATGAATCATCATTACAAACATTTCTATGATATACATAAATCGTCCTCCAAAATCTAGTTCTTCCTCTAACCAACCCTCCCGCTTGAGTCCTCTTGCCACCCGATACCAAGCCTCCACGGCTTTCGTTAACCCATTATCCAACAATAAGCCCTCTTTGTCAATAAGCAATTTCCTCCAAAATTCTGGCTGTAATCTACCACTGGGTGACATTTGGAAGCCACAAATCTTTGCTATTTTCTTTATTTTTAACATAGCCTCTTCTCCTGCTCTCTCCTTAACTATGTCACAAGCTAAGTAGCCTTTGGAAGGTCTGGCGTGTTCTTGTCCCATTTTTATCAAACAAGGCTTCCCACGTAAAAGGGACAGAGAGAGAGAGGAAAAATAAGGAATGTCTACAGTGCTCGACTGCCACGAGGAATTGATCTTCGTGCGTCTTCCCTAAACGTAGACTAGTCACGGGATCCGCCCACCTGAGATGGTGGCCACGGATCTGAGCAGGCGAGCTTGGGTGACTAACACAGGTCTGGGTAAAAAGTACAGAAGAGGTAGAGAATTAAGGAAAAGGTGAACGCGGAGAGACTAATCAGAAGACATTTACAAGAGTCACAGATGTAGAGATGTGCACATAATCCGGAATCAAGGATGAGCCACACAACACACACACACACAGCGAGGGTACCCACACTATGGCCACAATTGAATAAAAACCCTAATATAATAAAGAACAATATAACAACGAGCATAGTAACAACTAACAGTAAATAAAACCCTGTTCTGCTCTGAACAGTACAACAAAATTCCCAGCCTTTCTCTAGGCGGTTCCCAGCCCTTCACCGGGTGGATGCATTCCCTGCCTGCTAGGCAGTCAAGCTATAACAAATTCCCAGCCCCTCACCGGGCGGATGCATTCCCTGCCCGCTAGGCAGTCATGCTATAGTAAATTCCCAGCCACTCACCGTGGCGGATGCGTTCCCTGCCCGCTAGGCAGTCAAGCTATAGTAAATTCCCAGCCCCTCACCGGGCGGATGCGTTCCCTGCCCGCTAGGCAGTCAAGCTATAGTAAATTCCCAGCCCCTCACTGGGCGGATGCTTTCCCTGCCCCCTAGGCAGTCAAGCTATAATAATAAAACATAAACCACACACCAGCTGTCTCACACACACACAAACACTCAGGAGGCAGATAGACAATCGACAGGTTCGTTTAAAATGGCACCGGATAAGAGATTACCTGTCTTGTAGCCTTCTGGAAGCCGGAAGTCGACACGGAGACAGACCGACACAAAACAGGAGAATACAGGCAAACAACTGTATTTAGGAGGTGATCAGGCTCCGGTTGTCCCACTTTCCGGAGGTCCGCTCCGGTCCTGGTTTGGGGCCGTCCGAACCGGCAAAAATTGGTGCCCCACGTTGGGCGCCAAATGATGTGGAATCAATCAATTAATTGATTATCTTGCGTATCTGCCCCTGGCCAAATTAAAAAAGATGCGTGCACGCTCCTGAAGTAATTCACACCAGACACAGGTTTCGGGTTAATGAAAAACTTGAGTAATGTTTATTCTGGGGGGACGGCATGCCCCTTATAAAGCAAAATTACATCATATGCATTATCAGAGATAACATGGAATAATACATCAATAATTGGTTAGGTGTTAAGTGGTTCATTTAGTGCCCTTCCTACCGGGTGTGATGTCACTGGTATCTTGTAGGTCTCCCCCAGATTCCAGCGCCATCTTGTTAATGAGGGTGTTAGTCGATGTCAAAGGGAAACTCCCTAGCGGACATTTTAGGTAAATCACATATAAGATTGAATAATGCTGAGTAAATAGGCATTTTATTAATATGAATTGGGTTAATACGTTTGTCCACAACAGTAGGCGTAAGTGTACTTCTACTTTTATTTTTTTCTATATTTTTTATATTCATTTTGATTTTTATATTTATTTTTATATTTTTTCATCTATTTCTGTATCCATTTTTTATTGTTGCACCTTGATTTTCAGTCTCATCTTTATTTATTTTTTTCTTTATATATTGTTGTTACTTTTTCTGCCTTATTCCAGATCCATTTAATCTCCCTAGCTTCCCATTTGCTTCTATTACTAGACCTCCTGGTACGTTTAGTGCTTAGTACCTATAGTTGTTCATTAGAAAACATCTAGCTTTCTCATAATAGCACTACTTCAGATTAACCCATGAAAGTGGAGAACCTCACCAAACTTTCTGATTCTGAGAATTTAGATGTTCCACTGTCGGAGTCACCTCCTTAGAATATGGTGGGAGTATCTTAAACTGCCACAGAGAAACAAGCAAGCTTAGCATTAGAAGCAGGATCCCCTGTACACTCATCATTTAACGATCTTCCAACCACTTCCGAAATGATGAATATATAAATTCTTAGAAAGTGAAGCCATTCTGAGTCCACCCAGAGCCATAGAAATGGTAATTGGCGTTCATTTAGCAGCATAGATAGTTACTCCCTTCATCATTACTTCAGTAGATGGCAATAACCTGGAACCAGTTCTTTTATACCTTTAGACTATTTCTTTGCAAAACAATGTTAGCATCATACATAAGGAATTCCTAACCTTGGAGGGTGAGTATTGTAAACAAGTGCATGTGATCCCTCGGATAACCATGTCACCTTGGTTTTCTAAATAACTTTCTAGATGTAGGACTTTCTACATGTGGTTTCTAAAAATAAGGCCAAAAGATTCCTACTTCATTGACCTTCATACAATTGTTTAATGAGCCACCTGGCACTTTCCCTTATAAGAGAAGAGTGTATCCCTTGTCTGAACCTGCTAGTATTTCCATTGACTAAAATTATAACATGCTGTTAGATTTTGCTGGTTTTGTTAGATATTTTGACTCTGATGGATCTGCTTTTGTCACATTGAATTTTATTAGATTTACTGTAGGCATTATTTGTCTTTTGCGTTTGTGCTTGGGGATATATCTTGTTTGTTAATGGACATACATGTCTAAACGTCCAGTAAATTATGTTTAGAGTTTCTGTTTTGGTTTGCACATTTCACCTAACAAATCATATAAACCATAAAGGACCACTATAGGCACCCAGACCACTTTAGCTCAATGAAGTGGTCTGTGTGCCAGGTCCCTCTAGGTTTAACCCTGCCTGCTGTAAACATAGCAGTTTCAGAGAAATTGCTATGTTTACATATGGGTTAAGCCAGCCTCTAGTGGCTGTCTCATTGACAGCCGCTAGAGGCTCTTCTGCGCTTCTCACTGTGATTCTCATTGAAAATGCTTTCCTATGGACTGGCTGAATGCGCGCATGGCTCTTGCCACGCATGCGCATTCAGCTGATGATGACAGAAGGAGGAGGAGAGTCCCCAGCGCCGAGGGAGCCCGGCGCTGGAAAAAGGTGAGTATTTAACCCCCTTCAGCTCGGGGGGAGGGGGGCCATGAGGGTGGGGGCACTTTCAGGGCACTATATTGCCAGGAAACCAAGTTTGTTTTCCTGGCACTATATTGGTCCTTTAAAGGAACACTATAGTCACCTAAACAACTTTACCTTAATGAAGCAGTTTTTGTGTGTAGATTATGTCTCTTAGGTTTCAGTGCTCAATTATCTGCCATTTAGGAGTTGAATCACTTTGTTTCAGTATATGCAGCACTTGTCACACCTCCCCTGGCTCTGATTGACACAGCCTGCACAAAAAAACTGGTTTCACTTTCAAGCAGATGTAATTTACCTTAAACAATTGTATCTCTTTCTCTGTAAATTGAACTTTAATGACATCCAGGAGGCTCTTGCAGGGTCTAGCAAGCTATTAACATGGCAGGGGATATGAAAATCTAAATTAAACAGAACTTCCAATAAAGGAAGGATAAACTGTAGATGACTCTTTACAGGAAGTGTTTAGGGAGGCCCTGCAAGTCACATGCAGGGAGGTGTGACTAGGGTTCATAAACAAAGTGATTTAATTATTTAATTTCTAAATGGCAGAGAATTGAGCAGTAAGACTGCAGGGTCATAGTCTATACACCAAAACTGTATCCACACAATATTAAACATTACCACACACAAAAATATATAAAAATATTTTCCAAATAAATGGGATGGTTTCTTTAAGGATCTACCCTTAGTCCTATATACCATGTAGATCAAAGGCCAAAGAAAATGGAGATGCAGCCAATCCCCCAAAAAATGCAAAACACATGATGCAGCACAGTAGACAACTACTTCGTATGAGAGGTTTAATGTTGCATTCAAAATAAATGAATGAGAACATTGTATAAAATGAACTCAGCAAACCTATGTTTTATTTCTCGGCTATTTTATGGCTACGAAATAATGGAAATGGGCTGGCTACTCCCCTCAATCTTGTGCTCCATTCTCAGCCTTCCAAATCATACTTTATGAAATAAAGTAGTGGTCCAGGCACTCAAGTTAATAGCAAAACAGCAGCATTATTGGAGCAAGCTTGACAAAGACCCAGTCGGGTCGAAACACTGCTGTGTATTTGCTCCAATAAAGCTGCTGTTTTGCAATCAACTTGAGTGCTTGGACCACTACTTTATTTCATACACTTGTTGTGAGGTCTGGCCTTCCCTCGGGTCCGGTCCACCTTGGTAGCCTGGTGAGTGCGGTCTCATTCAGTTCACTTCCAAACGTATTATCCCTTACTTGCTCTTGTATTCTGTCCTTCTGCATTCCTGACTTTTGTGGCCTAAAATGTACAAATACTTTCTCAGTTCTCCTCAATTGCTGGTTTAGTGAATAAACCCCACAGTGACCAAATAATTTGGAAATCAAAATACTCAGTATGTTTCTGTAAAATTAGAAATTATAATTGAAAAGGAAAGTTTTCTATCCTTAGTCTGGAATGTAAACTTAGACCACAATGTCAACGGTTTGGGTTTAGTCTGCCAATGAAAGAGAACCATCACACACTCTGGTCTAAGAATATCTGCAGATCGGTTTTCACTCAAGAGAAAGCTACTGTAGGGTTAGTAAAGGCCAGGATGCTGCTTCATATTAAATTGTAACTTTCTATTCTCTCACTTGACTAGGTCTGCCCTGGTCTCTGGACAAATTCTCCTCAAATGAAACACATATCCACTCACAGCACCAAACTGAATATTGTTCAAAGGTGGACTGCTTGTATATCTAGCACACAGTGATTTACAGATATGATTCCCATAATAGAAAGTGAGCTCATCCTCTACTAATTCATTGGGGAGAGAGTAATGTAAGTGATACGATGATTACATCATTCTGCTGGCTTCATTGTTGTCACTGCAGCTGACAGCAGAAAAAGCTTTTGTGTCAGATTACTGACAGCTTTATGGAAAACCATTTAAATACGCATGCATGTGTTTTCTGTTTCACTATGTGTAAGTTCAATATCCATATTAAAATATCAGCTGTTCTAGTTTATCTTAAGGGATGCTTTGCCAAATGAATATTTTATTACAATTAAAATTTTACAACATATTATAAGAAATAAACAAGTAACACCATTCAAGGATGTTGTCAGAAGAAATGACACAGAAAAAGAGCCTAGAGGAACATTTGCTCGAGAAAAACCTGTGTCCGAAAAACAGGGCACAAGATAATGTAGACTGTTATGGTTTCCATCTAGGCATCAATGTTCTGGAACACTGCCAACTGCAAGACCTGCTATGCGCTGATAGGAAACATTTAAAGGACCACTATAGTGTCAGGAAAACAAACTCGTTTTCCTGACACTATATAATCCTTAGGTCCCCCTCACCCTCAGGCCCCCGGTCCCGCTGGGACTTACCTTTCCCATTTACCTTTATCCAGCGACGGGCTCCCTCGGTGGTGGTGACCTCTCCTCCCCCTCCGACGTCAGCTCCCAATTGGAGCCGAATGCGCGTCCAGAGCTGTGCACGCATTAAAATTCACTTTGGATTCTGACTTTAGTGAATAGCTCTGATAGTCTTCTACTGATTGCTCCAAGATTGGACAGATTTGTACAGATTTGTACAGATTATGTTGAAGTGGAATTGTCTGTGAGATTCGGTGGAAATTGAAAGGTGCAGTAGCCAACATAACACCTACAATTAGGTGCACTGGGCGGTTATGGTGCTTAGAAAGCCCCTTTAAATATTTTTTTTTTTTCGCATATACTGCAAGCAAAACTCTCTTCTTACCTTAATTAGGGAAGACAGCTGTCATCTAAAGCATTTAGTCATTAATATTGATTTTGGCTCATTTCTCAGGTTATGTAGAAACTGTTCCAATATACATGACTTCCTTTCACCGTTCAATAATTAAATCTCAAAAATATTACAGAAAGGACTTTCATTTAAATGTGTCTCTAAAGAGTTATTTTCCATAATATTGGAGATATTGCATAGAAAGAAATCACTGTTTTTCTTTTTGGAGAAAATAAATAATTCAAATGAAATAGGAATATTATAATATCGCTTAACTGTAATGTAAATGTTATTTCTGAACCCATCTTACAATTAACAGCAGAATATGAAAAAATGGAAATTGAATACAAACAGAAAAATATTGATCTGTTCTGTAATGTTGTATATGAATGAATAATGTCACTTTATATGGTATAAAATTAAATGTGTACAATGTGTCTGCCAAACTGATAGCAAATGTACATACTCTATGTTATACTGAACTCAAAGCCTACATGTTACAGGTAAAGATGGCAGGTATGGTGTCTATAGGTAGCATGCCATTTAGTAATAAGGCAACATCTCACAAGTTCTAACAAGCATCCCGACATATTAGGAATTGGGCAATGCTGCTACCTAATCTGTATGCGGGGCAGAGGTTCTTAACTCCCTACATTAAATCCCTTATGCTATTATCAGTGGATCCATTTTGGTTGACACCTCATATTTATCTGACCCAAGGCAACCACCCCACTTGCAGTAAATAGTTTCCATTCACAGTGCATTGGAAACCACCATAAACAGTGGGAATGATTTAATTAGTGTTCTAACTTATTTTATTATGTTTCCAAGATAATGCATGTGTGCAATATGATTCAATGTTACAAAAAAGTTAAGAACCTTTGACCCAGAGGTAAACCTAGCCAAACTTGTCATTCACTTGAAATGTGGTTCTCAGCATCTTTGCGCATTTACATAGTTACATAGTCACATAGCTGAAAAGAGATTTGCGTCCATCAAGTTCAGCCTTCCTCACATATGTTTTTGCTGTTAATCCAAAAGAAGGCAAAAAACCTAGTCTGAAGCGCTTCCAATTTTGCAACAAACTAGGAAAAAATTCCTTCTTGACCCCAAAATAGCAGTCAGATGTCTCCTTGGGTCAAGTAGCTATTACATCACTAATTAGAAATTATATCCCTGTAGGTTATGTTTTTGCAAGTATTTATCCAATTGCAGTTTAAAGTTTATATGTAGAATTTCATTTATTTTCAGTATTCTACAATCCTTACTATTTTGTGGGCACCACATACTTCTTTTTAATTCATTTTTTTTTTTTTATTCTTTATTTTATTGTGCTCATAAAATACATAATAGCAGGCAATGCCACAACAGCATGTACCAGCCGAGATGTCAACATTTCAAGACAATATTGGGCATTAGTGTACATTGCACATTTTTATGGTTTAGGTTGCAGGTTTATAAACAAAAACAGTATACATCACTTGTACCCCACGTGAGTGAGTTAATTAAGTGTAAGTCTAGATTTGTGTTGGATAGGTGGGGGGTCCCCCTAGCCCGATAGCTGTGTGTGCGTGTTTTGGGTTGGACTCAACCATTGACCGGTAGAGAAAGACCGGGGGGGGAGAAAGACTACTCCACTATGACTGTGAGCAGATTAGTAGAGCCTGGCTGTAGTTGAGTTGTGATAGCCTATATGTGTGTTAACTTGTCGATTTCTTCTGTGTGGTCGCCCTATTTGTGTGTGGCTAGTTCCATCAGCTGTCTCATGGATGTGGAGCAGCCCTAGGTCGCTAAGCAAGGATTGCATTTGAGTAAGAGTAAAAATAAGAATTGTAACTTTCAACGAAAATAAAACATCGGAAATGTAACTGATAGACCTTCTAGCAGCGGTCTCAAACTATGTGAGGAATGTTCTTGGTGGAATAATAGTGACCCCATAGCTTGGGCTGTCCTTAATGCCTCAGTTGGGGTGTCTATTTGGCAATGCCTTCTGGGTCTCCCTCGGGGCGAACTCCCGTACATTCGCTAGGTCGAGCTGGGACAGTCCTGTGCCTCTCGTTGGTGCTGCTGGGATTATGCCCATGGTTATGAGGAGTGACTCTAGTTCCTGGAAGGTCTGCGCTTTGTGAGTTATCCCGTTGTGGGTGAAGAATACTGCTCGCGGTGTTCCCCATCGGTAGGGCATCTCTTTGGCTCGGAGGTGTTGCAGGAGAGGTTGTATTGATTTCCTCCAGGTAAGGGTACTCTTGGTAATATCTGGGAAGATTGTTAGAGTTGTGCCCTCAAACGGCAAAGGTGTCTTGTTTCGTAGTGCATCTAGGACAGTAGCTTTGTCCGACAGGGATTGGAAGCGCAGTATGAGGTCTGTAGGTGCGGCTGCTGGAGCTCTTGCCGGCTTTGGTAGTCAGAATATCCCGTCTAATCTCAGGGATTTCATTTGTTTAGGTGGAATTAGAGCTCCCAGGAACCGCTTGATGTAGTGGGGCAGCTCAGAGAGGCCAACTGAGTCGGGTATCCCTCGGATTTTTAAGTTGTACCTCCTCCGCTGATCTTCTAAGGCATCTAGCCGTTCCGTGGTGGCGGTCTGCTGCTTCGTCAGATCTGCCATTTGTTGTTCCACTTTGGCTAATCTGGAGTCCTGTGTACTCGAGCAGGCCTCCAGCCGCGAGATTTTGGACTGGGCTCCTTCTATGGCCTCTCTATAGTAGGCCATGTCCACCGCCAGGTCCCTGTGCAGATCAGCCAGCATTTTCTTTAATTGGTCTGCTGTGACCGGTTTCCCAGGCGCTTTAGACGTATTGTTATGGTCTGGTGTGGGACCGAAGCTCGCTCCCTCCATGAGGTCTGTGTCAAACTCCTCCGAGGAATATGAGGCGAGGTCGTCCGCCATTTTGGACCACACGGCATGTTGTGTGTTCCTCAGTATGTCGCCGATGTCTCTGCCGTGAGTGCCTTTCTCTGCTTTTGCCTTTTTAGATTTTCGGCCCATGGTCTGCATTGAGGCTTAGGAAGCTGTGTGGGTTCTTTTGGGTCTGGTTCCACCATGAAAAGGGTACTTTTATATTGTGTTTGAGTCGGAGTTCACAAAAACGTGACCGCTCCGATGCGCTGCTTCCAATTGCAGTTTAAACATCTGTATGGACTCTGATAAAACCACCTCTTGAGGCAGAGAATTCCATATCCTTATTGCTCTTACTGTAAAAAAAAATGTCTTTGCCTTAGATGAAATCTACCTTTTTCCAGCCTAAATGCTTGACCTTGTGTCCTATGTATAGCCCTATTTATGAATATATTTCCAGATAATGGTTTGTACTGGCCCCAAATATATTTATATAATGTTATCATATCCCCTCTGAGGCGCCGTTTTTCCAAACTAAAGAGATTTAAATATTTTAACCTTTCTTCGTAACTAAAATGCTCTATTCCTTTTATCAATTTTGCAGCTTGTCTTTGCACTTTTTCTAGTGCCATGATATCCTTCTTTAGAACAGGTGCCCAAATTGCACAGCATATTCAAGGTGTGGTCGTACCAGCGATTTATAAAGAGGCAAAATTATATTTCCATTCATTCATCAAATTTATGCCCCTATTTATACATGACAAAACCTTACTGGCTTTAGCAACTGCAGATTAACATTGCCTATTGCTTCCTAATTTGTTGTCTATAACAATTCCCAAATGCTTCTCGTGTGTGGTTATCCCGAATTCACTACCATATAGGGTGTAAGTTGCTTGTGCATTCTTGACCCCAAAGTGCACAACTTTGCATTTCTCTACATTAAATTTCATCTGTCATTTTAGTGTCCAGTCCCCTAATCTATCTAAATCCCTCTGCAGCAAAGCAATATCCTGCTCACGTTGTATTACTTTACAAAGTTTTGTGTCATCTGCAAACACTGAAACATGGCTTTCAATGCCTATTTCAAGATAATTTATAAAGATGTTAAATAGAAGTGGTCCCAAAACAGAACCCTGAGGGATACCACTTACCATTTTTGTCCAGCCTGAAAATTTACCATTAATGACAACTCGTTGTACTCTATCCTTAAGCCAATATTCTACCCAAGAACAAGAATATTCATCTAGACCAATTTATTTTAGTTTGAACAATAACCTATTGTGAGGAACCGTATCAAATGCCTTGGCAAAATACAAGTAGATCACATCCACTGCAACACCCTGATCTATACGTCTACTTACTTCTTCATAGAATGCAATTAGTTTAGTTTGACATGACCTATGTTTCATAAAACCATGCTGATTATTGCTAATAAAGTTCTTCCCAAAGAATCACTGAATATTACCCCTTAATAGCCCTTCAAATATTTTCTGAGTTACAGAAGTTAAGCTCACAGATCTATAATTTACAGGCAAGGATTTTGAACTATATTTAAATACAGGAACGAAATCTGTCTCCCTCCGGTACAACACCTGAAACAAAATAATCTTGAAAAATTAAATAAAAAATTAAATACCATCTCATGTCCAACCAGCAGTTACTAAAAAAAAAAGCATTGAGTCCAAGAGTTTGTTCATTGCTTATCACACTCAGTGTTCTAATTATACTAAGAAAAATATGTGTATGGAACCATATATTATTATTCACAGTTACATTGGGGTTTATTGAGTATACAATTTGTGCAATTTAATGAACATCCCTCATTATTTGTATTATTAACATGGACCTGTTATCTACAAATGTGTAAATAAAGTGTCCCACTTAAGGTAGTTATAAA